TATCCTCTGGGAAAACAATGTACATCTCGATGTATATGTTTGTAGCCAAATAAATTACATTCAATATTATAATGTATTTATCTGTTAAAAAACATGAAAACGTTTGCCTGTCACCTTTAAACAATGTACATTTCTTACAGTTTTTTACAATCACTTTGGCACTAATTTCAGAACCTTGACGTCATTTTTCAAAACTCTAGACACAAAACTCAAATGAACCAATTAGACTACATTATCTATGGATGTAATATTTCATCATCATTCTTTATCAGACACCGTTTCTATGGTCCCCTTGTAACCTTCCTTGATGAGCTCGATCAGGCCTGTAGAGCTGGTGGCGTGACCTATGTCATTGTGTGGGATAATGTCAGGTTCCACCATGCTCATATGGTGCAAGCATGGTTTCAGGCCCATGCACAATTTACCACCCTGTATTTACCCCCATACTCTCCTTTCCTTAACCCGATTGAGGAATTTTTCTTCACATGGAGATGGAAGGTTTATGATAGGCGCCCTCATGAATAAGTCACTCTTCTCCAGGCCATGGATGACGCATGCAATGACATCACGGCAGACCAGTGTCAGGCCTGGATTCGCCATGGCCAAAGGTTTTTTCCAAGATGTTTGGCTAATGAAAACATCCATTGTGATGTAGATGCTCTACTACTGCAGTACTTTTACAGGGATGTATTTACATGTAGTACCATAATGAAACATGTATCACCTATTTTGTACTACAATATTTAATGATCGTACGAACAATGACACAGTGAAACTATCGGTTGCTTGTGTGTGGGTGATCTAAATTAACGTTTCATTGGTATTTCACAATAAATTTGTTTTTTGAACCAATGATTGTGCAAGTGCAAGATTTCTTTAAAGATATGAATGCACAATGCAATGTTTTGAACATTGGACAGCCTGTGTTACAAGTAATGACCGTTTTGAGTTTTGTGTCTAGAGTTTTGAAAAATGACGTCAAGGTTCTGAAATTAGTGCCAAAGTGATTGTAAAAAACTGTAATAGTCACAACATAGCAAATATTAAGAGAGAAGCATAAATAATGTGTGTGTGTGTGTGTGTGTGTGTGTGTGTGTGTGTGTGTGTGTGTGTGTGTGTGTGTGTGTATGTGTGTGAGTGTATGTGTGTGTGTGTGTGTAACCTTATGTTTTCCACATGACTGGTAGGTGTCATGAAGCAGAGCCTGACATGCAGTGAACTATTGATGGTTGTGAATTAGAAGTAGTAGTGGTAGTGACGGCAGTAGTAGTGGTAGTGATGGCAGTAGTAGTGGTAGTGACGGCAGTAATAGTGGTAGTGACGGCAGTAGTAATGGTAGCAATAGGTTTGTCATCGGCTATGGGTTAGTTAAAGTGAGTTGTTTTGGGGTGGTTTGTAGGTGTGGAGTTATTATAGTAGGTTATAGTGGGCTTATATTGTAGGCTAGAGGGAGTACTATAGCATTATACGCCATATAATGGGTTTTTAAGCACCCTGTAAGTTCTGTGGCAGTGACTCCAGTTAAGAATGTTGAAGCCTGCATTCCGTCATTGAAATGAATGGGGGTACAACAAGCTTTATAGTGTATAAAGTATCAATGTTTGCATAAATCTGTGTTGAAGCAATCTAATTTGAGTCAGTCTGCACATTTCAGCGTTTGGTTGGTATTTATAGTTTAAACTCTTCAAGAGCAGTGGCGAATCCACATTTTGCCTTTGAGGTCTACAGTGCTTTTATGCAAATTTAAATTGGTTATAGTTCCAAAAGTACAAATAGTATCCACTCTCTTTTGACGAGCAATCTAAGTTGAGTCAGTCTGTACATGTCAACATTGGTTTGGTGTTTTGTAGCTTTAACGGTTCAAGAGCTGTGGCGAATTCAAATACTTCCCAATGTAGCCTATGGAGCATTTGTGCAAATTTGACATGGTTATAGTTGAAAGATGTATGCAAGCAACCTATTCCAGAGATGTCTGTCACCAGTCCGTAGCCCTAATTATCTATCGCTGCAACTCCCGTACTGACTCGGTAGAGGCGAAGGTCGAGAGCCATGCGTCCTCCGAAACACGACCCTGCCAAGCCGCACTGCTTCTTGACACACTGCTCGTTTAACCCGGAAGCCAGCTACACCAATGTGCCGGAGGAAACACCGTACAACTGGCGACCGAAGTCAGCTTGCAGGCACCTGGCCCGCCACAAGGAGTCGCTAGAGTGCGATGGGACAAGGACATCCCGGCCGGCCAAACCCTCCCCAAACCCTGACGACGCTGGGTCAATTGTGCGCCGCCTCATGGGTCTCCCGGTCACGGCTGTCTGTTGTGACGCCTTAGACTGCTGCGCCACTCGGGAGGACCCTCTTGTATTTACTTCTATTGTGAGTTAGCCATGCAGTGCAGGGGAACATCCTGACTGGACTTGTATTTGGGCGAAATTCAATATTATTAAATTATCTTATTAAAATTTTATAAGATATCATAATTAAACAATGTGCGATCTAGGACTATTGTTAACAAAGAGGTGGGTGCATGTGTTTGCACTCCAGGTCAATAAGTGACAGTAACATTCACTAGGTTAACTCAACTACAGTAACTGAAGAAGCCGCATTACTACACACAGTCCAGGAAGTCACACAATTACAGCTGCTAATCTTGCAACGTTTATAGTCATGTCACAGCAGTGAGTAGGAAGGAGATTCCAAGATGTGGGAAGTGTGCAGGAGGGCATGGGATAGAGGACTGTGTAGTTTTGGTGGATAAAGTTGTGTGTGTTAACGGTAGGGGTGCTCATGTTGCTCAGGCTCGGAAGTGTCCGGTGCGAGAGAGGCAGGTTGAGGTGGCTAGAGTCAGAGTAGTGCAGAAGGTGTCGTATGCTGAGGTAATGAAGAAAGGAGAGGAGGATGGGTCAATGGTGAGGGATCCTGAGAGGATTCCAGTGAGTAGTAGATTTGTGCCAGCACAGAGGGATAGGCCAACAAGTGATTTATGCTTCAGTAAGGTTGGCTTCTTAGCGTTCATATCAATGGTTATCAACTGTACCGCAGAAATGGAATGTAAATCACAGAAAATAGATGTTGTGGTGGCAGCTGCAGAGATGTATTCAGCTATACGAGATTTGACTTCAGAAGGGTTACAGGGTGTGTTGAGTGGTGGTGTCCTGTCCTCCCAGGCTGTTGGCATGGTGCAGGAGCAGATAGGGTCAAAGTAGTGGAATGGGGTAGTGAGTTTTTAATTAGTGTAGGTGGTGGAGTCTAGGGCTATATTTCACTTTCTTAGAGGAAAAGGACTAATGAAGATAATGTATACTGAACAAAAATATAAACGTAACATGCAACAATTTCAAAGATTTTACTGAGTTACAGTTCATATAAGGAAATCAGTCAATTGAAATTAATTAATCAGGCCCTAATCTATGGATTTCACATGACTGGGAATACAGATATGCATCTGTTGGTCACAGATACCTTTAAAAAAAAAAGCTAGGGGCGTGGATCAGAAAACCAGTCAGTATTTGGTGTGACCACAATTTGCCTCATGCAGCGCAACACATCTCCTTCGCATAGAGTTGATCAGGATGTTGATTGTGGCCTGTGGAATGTTGTCCCACTCCTCTTCAATGGCTGTGCGAAGTTCAGCTTCCAGGATTTGTGTACTGATCCTTGTGACATGGGGCCATGCATTGTGATGCTGAAACATGAGATGATGGCGGCGGATGAATGGCATGACAATGTAGTGGTGGAAAAAGTACCCAATTGTCAGTAAAGATACCTTAATAGAAAATGACTCAAGTAAAAGTGAAAGTCACCCAGTAAAACACTACTTGAGTAAAAGTCTAAAAGTATTTGGTTTTAAATATACTTAAGAATCAAAAGTAAATGTAATTGCTAAAATATACCTAAGTATCAAAAGTCAAAGTAAAAGTACAAATTATTTCAAATTCCTCATATTAAGCAAACCAGATGGCACCATTTTCTTGTTTTTTTAATTTACGGAAAGCCAGGGGCACACTCCAACGCTCAGACATAATTTACAAGTGAAGCATGTGTTTAGTGAGTCCGCCAGATCAGAGGCAGTAGGGATGACCAGGGATGTTCTCTTGATAAGTGCGTGAATTGGACCGTTTTCCTGTCCTGCTAAGCATTCAAAATGTACTTTTGGGTGTTAGGGAAAATGTATGAAGAAAAAGTACATTAATTTCTTTAGGAATGTAGTGAAGTAAAGTAAAGTAGAAAAAAATATAAATAGTAAAGTAAAGAACAGATACCCCAAAAACCGACTTAAGTACTTTACACCACTGCGACAATGGGCCTCAGGATCTCGTCACGGTATTCTCTGTGCATTGAAATTGCCATCAATAAAATGCAATTGCTTAAGCTTAAACCTGTCCATTCCATAACCCCACCGCCACCATGGGTCACTCTGTTAACAACATCAGCAAACCACTCGCCCACACGACGCCATACACGTGGTCTGCGGTTGTGAGGCCGGTTGGACGTACTGCCAAATTCTCTAAAATGACGTTGGAGGTGACTTATGGTAGAGAAATGAACATTCAATTATCTGGCAACAGCTCTGGTGGACATTCCTGCAGTCAGCATTTCAATTGCATGCTCCCTCAAAATTTGAGACATTTCTGGCATTGTGTTGTGTGTCAAAACTGCACATTTTAGAGTGGCCTTTTATTGTGCACGTCACAAGGTGCACCTGTGTATTGAGCGTGCTGTTTAATCAGCTTATTGATATGCCACACACGTCAGGTGGATGGATTGTCTTGGTAAAGGAGACATTTTCACTAACAGGGATGTAAACAAATTTGTGCACAGAAATTTGAGAGAAATAAACTTTTTGTGCGTATGGAACATTTCTGGGATCTTTTATTTCAGCTCATGAAACATGGAACCAACACTTTACATTTTGCATTGGCCTCACACTCCAGTACAGTAGGCGGCGGTGTATGCACCTGAAAGTTGGATGCGATCCACCAACCAAATCCCAACGAAGAAGAAGAAGAAGAAGAAGAAGAAGAAGCAGCAGCTGTTTATCTTCAGTCAGCACCATTCAGTGGTCAATACAGGGTTTGGGTGGTTTTCAGTTTGAAACGTCATTGAGTCAGTGTCCCTTCTGCGTAATAGCCTAGAAACGCTAAAGATTCGGTGTTGCACGTCTGGACCAAAGGCTCTGATTGTTTTCGTCGCTGTTCTGGTGCTTTACGTTGCAGAAGAATATGGTTTTCTCATCGTCCCAACAAGTGGTGGTCGCATTTACGGCGGTGTTATTTGCGTTTGTGGTGTTCCCTAGAATGTTCGGCGTAGGGTCCGGGGCGAAGGAAACAAGATTTGATGCACGCTACAACAGAAAAGGTTGCATGAATTAAAAATAGTATTGGAAATGGCAATGTGACGCCACCGTCATATTGTGTAGGCCTAGCCTATGCAATGTTTTGCTCTTGCCATGATATATTTGTTTAGTAGCCTAACGTTTTACTATGTTCAAAATTGTCAAACTTATTCAAAACAAGATATCTGTCTATTTGTAAAAGTGTGCAGCATGGTAGCCTCTAAAGCCTTTAGCAATAAGACAACTGTCATGAATAGGCCTGTTTATTATCGTCGTCATCATCATCTTCTTCCTCTCTCATGTGTTATTTCCCAGCAGGTCCGGGACCTGGACCAGGTGCAGTGAGAGGGCAGCCGGTCAACAAGAACACGGCCGGCTCCATGAACAAAGCTCAGACCCTGGAGAACATGCAACAGATGAAGATGATGATGGAGCAGGAGATGAAGGGTGACAAATACAAAACCAACAGCAACAAGGGCTACGTTTTCACGCTGATGCCGCTCTATGCCATCGGAGTCGGCCTCTTTGCAGCATACAAATTTCTGAAGGTATCGGCTGGAGCAGGAATTCCACCATTGAAAAATGTAGCAATGATGATTGTGATGAGGTTGCTTGGGGATATCTCTAAACATGCAAGCATGCATGCACACGCCTACACACACACAAACACACACACAGACAAACACACACAGACACACACACACAGACAGAGAGCAGGATTGGAGTAAAGTTGATTGCTAATCAGAGCAAACGTGATTGTGTGAACTATGGTAATACTGCCAGTCTGAGCCTGAGTCGACTAAATACACATACTGCTCAGACTTTAAAATTGATGTCTCCCTTCTATCTCCAAGATCAAGTCTGCAGATGACTCCCAAGCCCAAAAGAAGAAGGATGCAAAAGGTCCCAATAAGTCGGAGGAGACAGGTGTGTGCTGTATCTGTGGTGTGCCACAAGGGTCTGTTTGCATACCTTTGTTTATCTTACCCGTCATGCAGATGCTTTTTTACATGGTTTTACATGCTGGTGGCTTTGTGTCTTTCCATAGAGAATCAGCTTACAGAGCTGGAGCAGCGGCTAGCGCAAACAGAGAAGATGCTCAACTCCATTCTCACCCAACTGGACCCATTGACAAGTTGGTAAGTAAGCCAACTCACCCATTAAACTACAGAGCTCCGGTTTGTCTTCTGTTTCTGCGTAAATATTGCTCTGTAAATATCACCCCATGTAATTAAGTACATGTCTGTCGTGATTAAGACCAGTTTATCCAAACCAGGTAGTTATAACAGTTGTAAAGTCACATCTCATGGTCTTGATAAACTGTTGACCCTGCTGAGTCTAATAGCGTTTATCGTAATGGGACTCTGGGGTGTGTTGACCAGGCACCAAATTGGAGATAATGTTTTGAAAAGAAATGTTGATAGATTGTCAAGTCTAGGTATTTTCGCCTCCGTACTTTCTCTCGTCTGGTACCTGCGTACTAAACCTGACCTTAGTGAACTGAACTTTTAAAGACCGTGGGTAACTAAATCTAGTTCAAAGCAATTAATGTATCAACTGGGTGTGGGGTGAAGTGGCCCCTAGGGCCTAGATGCAGATTTTGAGTCTCAGTTTCGCATTTCCCTGACTAATGGTTAAGGTTAGGATTGGGGAAGCTGATCCTAGATCTGTACCTAGAGAAACTTAATCCCGGAGCTATGAACTGAACCTACGAAGGGCAACCGGTCAGGGACTGCGTTTCCCAGATTTCTGTCCTCAGTGATCTCACTCTCTTCTGTCCATTTCGCTCCTCTCCAGTGTCAAGTCTGTGGCCCAGGAACAGAAGAACGAGATCATGTCCCAGCTCCAGTCCATCCGCCACCTGATGAAGAAGAGAGGCATGGACTGTCCACCCCTCAACATTGAAGGTATGTGACCCCACCCCCTGCTGGGGCATGTTCATTAGGCACCAAATGGAAGAAAACAAACGAACAGGGAGTACCTGGGGCCTCATTTATCAAAGGTGCATACGCACAAAAAAGACAACCTTGCATTCTGCATGTTTTCTCGCTAGGGTTGATATTGATCATATTTGAACTTTACGGGATAGTGTACATAGCTCCACACACACCTCAGACTGTGCTTAGGCACAACTTCTAGTGGTTGAAGAATTCTATTGCAAGCAAATATTGTTCTTTTGGGGAAGCTGTGTTGCTTGGTGACACAGGAATTACTGTAATTAATAGCAATGCTAATAAACACATTAAAGCATAATGATGAAACAGATGCACATTTTCCGTTGGTAAGGAGATCGGTGGCCTTGTATATTTTATTTTTCTTTCATTATGTAAATCATAGTCATATTGCAGGACATCTCTCCTTTTCTGATATGAATTGTTTATTCCTGCTACTATACGACAAATAATTACCATTCAATAGGCCAAGCTACCTGAAAGGAAATAGTCTAGGCTACCGGTCTATTTAAAGTATTTGACAGTAGGCTATGTGGTAGAGTATTGCTGTGCAGGAGTGTGACATCATAACCTATCTAACCTCAGAGCCTATACCAAGGCAGGAGATAGAAACGCGATCATCTATTGATAAACAAAATATTGAACAACAGTTTGTCTTTTGCGTTGAAGCAGTGTGGGCTATAGCACTTAGTTGAATGTTTCTCTAATGGACAGTCAATCTGGCGCAATTCACGGCCAGAGTTTGGCTCTCGCATGTTTAGTTTGAAAAAGTAACTGCAAAAGATGAAAACATTCTGCCAACACCTCCACAGAAATGTGATCAAATTGACCATTGTCCTTTCTTTGAGAAACCGCAGCTGCCTAGTTCCAATTCATACCGCAAATGAGGGCCTTTTTGTCACCATAAAAGGTGAATACACAGTGTTTTCCAGGCGGGGTTGTAATGTTTGTTCACGTTTGCGCATCTATGGTTCTGATTAATCAATGAAAACAATGAGCGCCAGTCTGATCAATTCCATTAATTTGTGGCGTACGCAAATCCTAGGATTTCCACGTGCACAGAGTTTAGTTAGAAATTCAGCACGGTTGATAAATGAGTCCCCTGGACAAAAATAAAGAAATTGTTGTTTTCCGTTGCAAAAAAACAATTTTTTCTTTCGCGTTCCCTATTTTATATTATCCAGTTTTTTTGGTATGGTAGGGTATCCAAAATGGGTCAGCTTTGAGCACCGCTATCTCCTAAATGGTTTGGCATTCAGGTCCAAAAAGTCACTTTCTGACCATTAATACAGTGAACAAACATGTATGGAAATTTCTTTTGTAATTTTTTAAAAATTATTAACTTTATTTGTCCTGTGGGAAATGAGTTGGGCAGGAAGAGTCACACACGCCATCAAACATGATCCACATGAGCAATATTGACATCAAAACATGACATGTAAGCCGTATCTTTACCTGACTCAAACACACCCATCCTGAAATGGGCGCCTGTTTGCGGTGACTGTAGCGCACGGTCGCAATTTTTGCTCTTTTCCATCTTTCAGAGCCGCAGTGCGAGAGGAACCTGGATGACCTCATCGCGTCTCTGGCAGCCCACGACGACACCCAGCCAGAGGGGGTCGCTGCTGCGGCAGACGAACAAAGTGGTGTCGGGAAAGAGGCACCAGAGCCAGTCCACCACCAGCATCACCACCCCGAAGCCAAGGACGAGTACTCAGCGACAGACGCTGGAGGGGAGGAGGAGCAGCTGGAGGAGGAGGAGGATAAAGATGACAGTGAGGTCATGCCCTCGTTGGAGGATTCTTGTGAAACAAACATTGAGGACATAGGGGTAGCACAGAGCATTCCAGAAGAAATGCCTACAACTGCGCTCAGACGACGCAACAGGCTGGAATGAACAGGGAAAAAAGGGTGTATTTTCTCATTCTTAATGGCACTACTGCGGTCTTTTCAATAATGCTCTTGCTTTGGGGTCGCAGTTGAATAAGAAAGGGCAGCTATCAATGTGAAATGATTTTGTCCAAGGTTCTTCCTGACAAAGAAAATCCCCAAAAGCCTATCTCCATATAGCTTTTGACTTGGGTCTGGAGGTTTTCTTTGTCAGGCCCCAAGTATGAGGCCTGTTTTCCATCCTTGAACCAAACGTTAGTTAGTACGTAAGGCACCTGTAAATGTGTTTTCATCACGTGACTGCTGCTTGGAAACCCTGTACATCTCATTATATGCTGCCATCTTTTAGAAAGGGTCGTTACGGCCCTAAATATCAAGACTCCAAAGTGTGTGTTGTTGTTATGCAATCCGTACGACATAGAATAGTCAAAATAATTAAAAATATGTCAAACATAGTCAGCTATAAATAGCTACATTTAGATTTTTCTACTAAATACACAGGTGCAAGTTTGTGACGTTTGGCTTGTCGTATCATTTGTCTGTTTTCAGACATCTTATGCATGTGTTTTTCTCTGCAACTGATCTTGAATGTCCTGGTGAATACAACTGCATGAGTTATCTTACTAGAGGGAGATGCAGGACAATCATGAATTTATTGATGACTTAGTCTAAATCAGGGCTCTAACCCTGTTCCTGGAGATCTACTGTCTAGTAGGTGTTCTCTCCAACCCTAATCTAGCACACCTGATTCTAATAATTAGCTGGTTGATTAGCAGAATCCAGTTAGTTACAACTGGGGTTGGAGTGAAAACCTACAGGAGGGTAGCTCTCCAGGAGCAGAGTTGGAGAGCCCTGGTCTGAATTAATTTGCGTTCTGATCGGGTCTTGGTCCATTTTGTTTAGTCAACACAACCATGCATTTAATTCAGTTTTTTATATTTGTTTCCTTTTATTTAAGTATTTTATGTGGTAATCTATCATTGACTGTAGTTAACACAAAAGTTAGTCTCTGGTTAGCACCAACACTACAGGATAAAACTACAGGAGGAACAGAAATCAAATAATCTCATTGGTTTTGTCTTAAATCGCACCCTACCTATTCCCTATATAGTGCACTACTTTTAACCAGGGCCCATAGGCCTCTGGTCAAAAGTAGAGCACTATGTAGGGAATATGGTGCCATGATCTGTGTTGAAATACTTTACCAGCAACCAAATAATCACGTTGTCTGTGTAGAAACGCTGTACCGCAAGACTTTTCAAAACTCTGACAAATGTCCAAGCTTATCTTGTGATAATTAACGTTTGGAGCAAATATTCAGCATTTAGCAAACGCACAATTCATATCTTTGGAAACAATGTTTGTCTCCTTATGTTTGTGAGGTCATTTGTTGGCTAATTATATTTATTTGTATGGCTGTGTTCTTGGATATGCATAACTGAGGAAAGATGGGAACAAATGTTCCACGCCTTACTAGAAAATAAAGGTGTTATGTGGCTACTCTTTTTTTGTGAATATGTACTCCATTTCATTAATCTATTTGATTGTTGATTAGATTTTGATTTGCAGTATGTCATTCATACCTCAGGCTGACTTGTGGTTGAATGAGTTAAGCACAATAGAGCTTTAAGTCAACAACCAACACACAGCAGGCAGCGGATATCTACTGCACTGTGTGTAATTGTCCTCTGTATACAGCAGATGGCGATAGAGGAACACAATACTACAACGCAATTCCCCAGCAGAATCTTCCTCAAACACTCAACACTTTTATACCTGCTTGCATCTGAGCAAAATCAAAATGTCAGTTCAAATGCAAAACATTTCAACTATTGCTTCTCTACATTGAGAGATATCACAAATATTCTGACTGTTGCCTTATATAACAGTATATGCCTCTAACGAGACATTTTTATCCAAAGCAACCTACAGTATATGTATTTGATTCCCTGCGGGAATTGAACCCACAACCTAGTCCTAGATGTTGCTTGCTTCATGCTCTTACCAACTGAGCCATATAGCAGTCAGAACTGCATTGCCTTGACTGAATGTCAGACAAACACTTCAAATTAATTGACCTGATTTTTTAGCAAGAGGGAAGAAACTGTTTAACAAACATTAAAATCCCAAAGAAATATCCTGAAACTATATTAGCTAGACATGTACTGTATCCTTGTAGCTTAATTGTGAAGGTTCACAGTCATTCACCACAAATTAATATGCCTCTTTTAATTAGCAGAAAGCACCTCAAATCCCATCTAATCAGGTCAGAATTTACCCCAGGGATTCAACCGACTTTCACTGCAATACCCAAGCTTGTCAATTAGTTAAATAAACTTAAATTACACTTAGTGGCAGCAAAGGGAGTCCTTTCACATGTAACCAGTGCTATGATACCAGGGTTGTGTTCATCAGGCACCAAATGTTTTGAGTTACATGACGTAATGAACACGACCCTGTGGTACTGCTTGTTGTGGTCCTCTTGTCCATGCCCCCTAAACCCTGTTAAGGAAACTACAAGTTAAAGTGCAACTGACGTCATTTGGAATTTAGAGTTCAAATCACTTTCAAAACTTGAATAATGCATATGAATCTGCTGTTTAACCTAAGGCTGTGTTTACACAGCCACCCAAAGAACCCGAAACAGATTTTCATTCTATATCCTATCTTTTCTTCTGAAAGTCCACACTCAGTTTTACATGTGACCCATATCAGATTTGCGTATTCACACTGATGTGAACCAGTACACAGATTCAATGTTAATTTCCTGTCACTGTTCTTTTAAATGTTGGGGTGGTTGTCATGGTAACGGCAGATCCTGTGCAAAAAACCACCACACAAAAACCACTTCAGAGCAAAAATATCTGATCTGAGCCTCCAGACAGAGGTCGCATATGGAGGATAGGGTTTGTATCAGGATTGGTGCTATAAATCAGAAGTCAAAAGATCAGATTCCATGTGTTTTTTTGTTGTTGCTGTTTACACAATAGGGAGAAGATCAAATAGGTATCAGATATGCAAATAATTGGCAAAAGATCTGAATTGGGCTGCCTGTGTAAACTCAGCCTAATAGTGGCAGAAGAAAGGCTATGTCACCAAACGGAAGCAAACTATACCTAAATCCTTACTAATTTGGGTTGTGTCCAGAAATTTAATGTGATGGTTCACTCAAAAACTGTATTTTTTTGTCTGTAAGTCCACTGTTAATACGATCCCAAAAATTTTTGCAAGTCAGTAGTCAAGTTTTCAAGATGGAGCACTTTCAGTACAGAAATTAGATGTTGATGCGTTTTGAGTGAACTATCTGTTTAGGTACAGTTGCTCTCATATTAATTGGAGGCATAGAAAACAGACACCAATTGTTTAGTCTGACGTCCAGTGGTCCTGTGGGTACGCAACTTGTAATCATTACTCCTTTGTCTTTGCTGCCAATTTACACTAAACCTGTAGTCTAGGATACAGATTGAGCCTTGTCCTGGACTAACCCATTTTCATGGAGATTCTCAATTGACCATGTTTTTTAGTCCAGGACAAGGCTTAATCTGTATCCTGGAAACCAGCACATGGTGTTTGCTGAATCTCAGTGTGGTCTAATGACGCCCATTGCCTGCCAGAGTATTGTCTTGGACTAGTTTGCAATGTAGTCTATCCTTGATTCTTTGTGTCCTCTCTCTACCTTCATCCTGGAGGACGAACAGAGAATTGTAGATGCTTGGTCATTGGACGTCTTAAATGTCAGCAAGCTAGTCTACTGGGAGCGAGAGAGAGAGCAGGGAGAGCTCATGATCTGGGATAAAATTAGGATAGGCCGAACAGGACGGCACAAAAAGTTCATGCTGAAATGTGTGTTTGTGTGTGTTCAGGAACACTGCATCTCAGCCTTCACAAGGTCACTTTCTCATAATGCTGTGAAAGTGTTAGCTGATGTTTGAAAAGGCTTCATATTGGCAAGGCTGTGTCAGTTCAGCAAGCTCTCAGGACTTCGTATAGAATGAATGGCTTCTTAACAGCCTTCTCTATCACAATTGTAACCAATTATCTTTCATTTTCATTCTCAGAGCCAAACTTGTCAAACTCTTTTGCACAAAATTCATTTTTTGATTAGTCCATGAA